CAGAAAAATGATGAGACCTTCACTGGTTATATGGCTAGATGGAGAGCCAAGGTCACACAAATGAGGAACTTTCTAGATACCAAGGAACAGATCAAGATATTCATTAAGGGGACTCTGCCGACCTTCCGTGAAAAGCTGTATTACATGCCGTTAACTGAATTTTATCAAGTTTATGAGGTGGGGACCACCATCAAAGATAAAATAAGGAAAGACAAGAAGTATGGGAATCGCACTGGAAGTTTCAATAAGTCCAGGATCTAAGGGTCCAGTCAGTCAGCTAAGACTCCAAGCACCATTAAGAACACAACAACAGCTGCTCTGGATTTGAGAGCTACTAATATGACTCCAAGGAGATTCTCCAACTTTGGCACCCCTCTCCAGAGTGTTCGAGAGAGTGAAAGCAGTGGGTTTGTTGAAACCGCTTGCACCGAGACCTCCTCCTGTAATTTTGCCAAAGAATATCGATCAGAAAGCTTATTGTTACTTTCATCAGAGTAAGGGTCATACAACTGATAGTTGTATGAGATTGAGACATGAGATCCAAGATCTGATCGATAGTGGCAAAGTGACTGATCCAAAAAAGTCAAGGCCAAGCACGAGGACTAATCCACATTTGAACTTTAGAAGCATGCCGCCTTCTATGAACTTATATATGGTTGAGTCTGGAACGACTCCCTTGGAGGTGCTGACTGAGTTTGAAGAGGAGGAGGAGGAAAGAGAGAGGGAGATGCTTTTAGAGCAAATTTATGTGATGATGCTCAATGTCTGGGATAGCGATGAGGAATGGCTAAAACAGAGCGAACAAGTCTGGGTGGGTAGTGATGATGAGGTAGAAGTGAATCCCGTTATTCTGGATGTATAAAATAGCGAGAATGAAAAAGAAGCAAAAGTAGTGAATCATAAGACCCAGAGTGATCGAATTTATCAGCCGAATGTAATCAGGCCAGGGGAAGAAAATGAGAAAGCAAGCTCTTCGGATGCACCGAAAAAAGAAATAGAAGATGATGCTTTAATGAGATAGCTGAAAAGAACCCATGCAAATATAAGCATGTGGGACCTGTTGGTATCTTCTAAACAACACTCTGAAGCTTTGCTGAAAGCCAAGGTAGAGATTCTGGTTTCATCATCCATCTCTCTAGCTAATTTTGTAGGGATAGTGCAACATGATCCCCTCACGATCACCTTTTCGGATGATGAACTTCCTCTCGAAGGAAGGAATCATACAAGGCATAGTTCATAAAGGCTGAGGTTAGAGGGAGAGTGACCGAAAATGTAATGATAGACGATGGGTCTGCTCTGAATGTGTGTCTGTTAAAGCTGCTTTCTAAGTTCAAGCTAGAATTGTATGATTTGGAGCCTTTAGATGTTATGATTAGAGTATTTGATGACTCAAAGAGACAAGTAAAGGGCATTTCAAAATTGTGATCAAGGTGCGGCCGATTGAAAAGGAGACTAAATTTATCGTCATCGATATTCCCTTAACTTTCGCCTTACTACTTGAGTGCCCATGGTACCATTCCTTGGGAGGAGTGCCTTCAATATTGCATCAAAAGATAAAATATCCATTTAATGGGAAGGTTATCACCATACCTGCTGCTAATGAAAGAAGCGTAGCGATGCTAAATGTGGATAAACAGGTTATACTCTCATCGATTGGTTTTTATGTTGTTGTATTGAGCACTGACATGGAGCCCACTATCTCCAACATCATGAAGAGGATGAATTATAAGGAAGGAAAAGGACTTGGAAAGAATCAATAGGGCATCACCAAGCTACCTGAAATCCACACTCAAAGAAACCGCATGGGTATAAATTTAGGAGCACACCATCGAACACATACAACTGGTTGGACATGGATGGATGAATCGCCTGATCGAGTGAGCATTCCTCTCCATGTCTACCAATAGAGCCTTTTCAGCACAAAGGAAAGACATGCCCTGTTATAGAGATCGTCGCTGATGTTATTGATATCTTGGCAGTTGAGCCTAAAGAACCAAGAAGCTTAAGGAAGAGAAAGAATAGAAGGAAGAAGAGAAGACACCCGAGAAAGAGGGGGTTGAGGGGCCACAAACGGCTGAGGAAGAAGGAAAGAAAGAGAAGCAAGAAGAAGGACAAGCTGCCTAAGAAGAACAAAAGGAAGAGAAGAATAAAGGGACGGCAGTGCCGAAGAAGAAGAGGACCCCATGGATGACGAGTCTGATTGACTTGTTTGATGTCTTTCCTGATGGTTCCATTCACCAAGTAGATAAGCACATGCGCATATTTGACATTAACTCATCATGCATGCTTGAATTTAATATTAGCACATAAGATAATCCTTGAATTCTATTAATTGGGCTGAACCTAATGCCAGAGTTAAACACAAAATTACAAAGTCTACTTATGGACAAAAAGGAAGCCTTTGCATGGAGCTATGGAGACATGGTAGGGATAAATAGGTTTATAACCGAGCACATAATTCCTCTATATCCTACAGCCAAGCCAGTGAAATAAAAGAGAAGGAGGTTAAGACCAGATTGGGCTGAGAACATTAAAGAGAAAGTAACCAAACAAATAGATGCAGGATTTCTTGAAGTGGTTCACTATCTAGAATGGTTGGCAAATATAGTCCCAGTTTCTAAGAAAGACTGAAGGTTCAAAATGTGTATGGACTACAGGGATCTGAACAAAGCATCACCGAAGGATGATTTTTCCTTTTCCTCATATCGATATCTTGATTTATAGCGCAACAATGATGGGATCTACTCCATTATGGATGGGTTTGCAGTGGATAACCAGATTCTCATGGCATTAGTAGATAAGGGCAAGACAACATTTGTGATGGAGTTTGGTACATTCTACTATCGGGTGATGCTGTTTGGCTTAAAGAATGTCGGGGTGACTTCCAGGAAAAATTTAAGGACAGAGTGATTAATATAAGCTACGGTTGAACTCAAAGAAATGTGTGTTTGGGGTGACTTCCAGGAAAGTGATAGGATTCATAATACGTCTTAAGGAAATAGAGATCGATCCAGACAAGATTAAGACGATCCAAGAAATGGAGCCGCCTGAGACGGAAAGCAAGTGAGAAGCTTTCTAGAAAAGATTCAATACATTAGCAAGTTCATTTTGAAGTTGTCTATAATATGTGATCCAATCTTCAAGCTTTTAAGGAAAGATTAGCCAGTAAAGTGGAACGACCACTACCAGATAACTTTCGACAAAATCAAGGAATATATGCCAAGTCCCACGGTTTTATGCCCACCAAAGCTAGGGAAACCCTTAATTCTGTATTTGACAGTGGAAGATGCTAGAACTGGACCCATATTAGCACAAGCTGATGAAGCCAGTGTTGAGAAGGCAATGTCTTACTTAAGTAAAAAACTTCTTCCAAATGAACAAAAATATAACTTCATAGAAAGAACTTGCTTAGCAATGTTATGGGCTACAAGAAAACTTCGACACTACTTTCAGTCTTACAAAGTGATAGCAGTATCAAGAATGGATCCGATCAGATATTTATATGGAACACCAGCACTAGTGGGCAGTTGTAGACTTTTTAGCAGCACATCCAGTTGAAGACAATGAACAGTGGGAGATTGATTTTCCCAATGAACATTTGAGTTTGATAGAAAAGAAAGAACGGAAGCTCTATTTTGATGGTTCTGCTCATAGCAAGGAAGCTGGAGTAGGCATTTTGCTAGAATCTCCACAAGGAGAAGTAATCCCGATGTTGAAGAGGGTATAGTTTGGAGTTACGAATAACATGGTAGAATATGAAGCCTGCCTATTTGGGTTAGAAGCTCTGGTTGCAGTTAAAGTTGAAGAAGTTAAGGTTATTGGTGATTCAAAGCTGGTTTGCAGGTTAAAGTTGAAGATGGAGCTTATAGGTTTATATTTTGGTGATATCAATACGTGTGGTCATTTGAGCGCCAGTGGCTATATTCACCAAGGGTGGGGGAAGTTAAAGTAAGTTACGAATAACATGGTAGAATATGAAGCCTGCCTATTTGGGTTAGAAGCTCTGGTTGCAGTTAAAGTTGAAGAAGTTAAGGTTATTGGTGATTCAAACGTTGTCATTGAGCATGCTAACACCAATGGGGAAGTTAAAGAGGATAGGCTGAAGCTATATATTGAGTATCTGCATATTATTATTCAGAATTTCAAAAGGGTGACTTTCACACACACAAACAGAATGAACAACCGAGTACCATATGCTTTGGCTAATTTAGCGTCAGCTTGGGAAGAGATCTTAATTATGCCTAAGAAACTGTTTATGATGTCTTTGGGTGGCATCCCGTGTTATGAAGGTGAAAAGATTATGGATATTGAGGAGGAAGATAAGCCATGGTTTTATGATGTCCTGTAGTGGATGACAAAGAGGGTTTACCCAAATTTAGCTACTAGAGATGACAGAAGAGCTATACAGCATTTGACATTACAATTTGCAATCTTAGACGTTCAATTGTATAAAAGAAGGTCAAACGGGGTATTGTTAAGATGCGTATCAAAGAAAGAAGCCGAAGGGATTATGGAACAGATCCATGTAGGGGTATGCATACACGAATGGAAAAGCTCGTGCTAAGAAAATTCTCAAACAGCGTTTCTTTTGTTCAACAATGGAAAAGGATTGTATTTCTTTTGTGAAAAGGTGCTTTGAATGCCAAATTCATGGGGATCTGAGTCACATTCCACCTTCAGAATTAGATCCTTCTATTTTGCCATGGCCATTTGTAGCTTACGGAATATATATCATTGGCAAGAATTTACCACCTGCTTCTAATGGACACGAGTTTATAGTGGTTGCAGTGGACTATTTTTCAAGATGGGTTGAAGCAGAATCATTTCGAGTTTATAGTGGTTGCAGTGGACTATTTTTCAAGATGGGTTGAAGCAGAATCATTTAAAAACATAGGCGCCAAGCAAATGGCCAAATTTATTGAAAAGAACCTGACCTGTAGATATAGAATCCCCCATCATGTTGTGACAGAGAATGGAGTTCAATTCCAAGTAGAAATGAAATGCTATTAGAGAAATATGGAATCGAACACTACAAGTCTTCACCTTACAGACCACAAGCTCATGGGGCAGTGGAGGCGGCAAACAAAAACATCAAGAAGATATTAAGGAAGATGGCAGAAAACCACTATGATTGGGCTAGCAAGCTACAGTATGCTTTATGGGGATACTGGACCACAGCCAAATCTACGAATGGGGCAACACCCTTACTCTTTAGTCTCGGTATGGAAGTTGTTACCCTATTGAGAATAGAAGTGCGATCGCCTTAAAGAATGACAAAATGGAAGTCCAAGATTTCAAGAATATTAAATGGGTAGAAAATCAACTATCAAGAATTGGCACTCCTAATGGAAAAAGGCTTAGGTGTCCGCTTCATGGACCAACCTGTGTAAAAGGAAGGATAGCTAAGCACTTCATGGAGTCCAAGATTTCAGAATATTAATGGGTAGAAAATCACTATCAAGAATTGGCACTCCTAGATGGAAAAAGGCTTAGTGTCCGCTTCATGGACCAACTGTGTAAAAGGAGGATAGCTAAGCACTTCAACAAGAGAGTTCATCCAAAGCTACTAAGAGTAGGGGATTTGGGTATGAAACAGATGCAGCCGAACACTCATGACCCAAGGGGGAAGTTCAAACCTAACTGGGAAGGCCCAATTCTGATCAAGAGAATGTTTTCTAAAGGTGCAGTGAAGCTATTAGACTTGGAAGGCAATGAGTTTATCGAACCAATCAATGTGGATAGATTGAAGAAATTTTATGTGTAGCTTGAAACGTTTATGGCAAGGCCAAATTAATAAATTCACCTTTTGTGTTCTTATTAACTTTAAAGCATTTTATGTTAAGTTTGGGTTAATATGCAAATGTTGTGAATTTACACTGGTGGTATAGAATAGTCGGGAATATATCAAACATGTTTAAGCAAAAGTCATTTCATTCATAATAAGTGCGTACATTCTATAAATTACACATTTAATAATTGCTTAGTACATCATTAGAAATCAGGATAAGGCATCTACATGCCAGGTCCTAACAGAAATCTAACTGTCAACAAATCAGCCGACTTCAAATCAGCACCGACTCTAGAATAAGCTTGCAGCCAAGAGCGGTATAAGTTTGAGGAAGAGGAATCGACCACATTAGAAATGGGTACAGTTGTGCGATTAGGCCAGGTGAAAAAAAGCGAGATAGAAATCGCTGGGTGATAAGGCCACCCTCGAACCATGTGTAATTAGGGACAGCCTGATGATGACCGTACTACCTAGCCACGCAACTGGGATAACAAACAAGTGTCATGGACAGTCCGCACAGGGGCACACAGAGCATGTAAGAGGAAATAGTGACTCACTCTATGTACCACTAGGGGCAATTCCATCTGACTCCTTCAAAGGTAAGATCTTGAAAAATGGCAGTCCAGTCCTCCAAAGTCTTGCCAATCAAATGGCGCTGACATCGGACATAGACTCGTGGTCTAAAATCGAATATCAAATGGTTCGATGGCGGAGCCATCACCTGTAGCTTCTCAAGAGCCCACAACTGCAAGTGCATATGAAGAAGAAAAAAAAAAGGAAAAAGCTCGTTAAGTTGAAAACCCACAACGGTGGCTTAAGTAAAAGTTAGAGCATTGAAAAGAATAAATGGCAAAAAAAAAAAGGAAAAGGGAAAAAGCTTGCTAAGTCAAAAACCCACAAGGGCAGCTTAGCCAAAAGTTAGAGTGTAAAAAAATTAAAATAATAAATAATAAATAATAAAAAAGAAGAGAAAAGAAAAAGAAAATGCATTTACCTGCAGTAGAAGCAGACTCCCTATCGGACCGAGTACTGAGCTAGAGTCCCAAGCATGCTCTCCCAGCCAAGTAAATGTCTCCGCTAGAATAAGTGGAGAACATGTACGCTGCCTAGCCATCTGCTCGATTATAAGCACCAGCTTAAGGCTGCCATAGCCATCGATGTCGCTAAATAGCAAATATTGGCTAATGATGCAAAAACAGACTAATAGAGGCCAGTACGGGCTATTACAGTCCATACCTAAGGCACGGTCAGCAAGAAGTCGCAAGGGCACGACATCAGCTCCAAAGTCATAATACGGTATCTCATAAGCCGTGAAACCGAAGACAGGCAAAATCGGTGAAGCAAGGTCTATATCCAGCCGGGGCACCGCAGGAATCTCTTTAAATAATGGACAGATCTCGAAGTCATTATGCCGAAATAAGTTGTCCGAAGTATCAAAGTGATTGCTTAACCATTGTAGTGACCCAGGTTGGATTTGGATATTCTGATAGTAACTCAGCCCATTCAGTTCGAATGGTGACAGTAACTCCCGATCCTCACAGTTAAGACTGCGGAATAATGGTTCAAATGCAGATGCTAAGGACTCATCCATGAAGAACATGGAAGAAATGAGAAGTTTGGGGAAGTTTTTCGATGAGAGCTTCGTCTAGAAAAGAGAGACAAGCTTTTGTAAAGTGAACAAGTTTATGGGCTTTTATAGGAAAAGAATAAGAAGACAAAGTGACAGCTAGCCGCCACCATAACTCTAGTGGAGCACGCCACTTCGTGTGGTGCAAACCACATCATAGTGGCGCACGCCACTGGACAGCAGTCAGCTGCATAATATGTTGCTTTGTTGTTTTTACTTCTCAAAACTCAAAAGGAGATGTAAGTATTAGCTATGAAGTACAAATACTTCAATATCACTTAGAGACATGTAAAGAAAATGGCTCTTCGCCTTCATATAATAAATAGAATAATCATTCTCTAAAAAAGCTGGTCCCTAAACTGGGTCCAAGCATTAAGAGAACAGAAATTGAAAAGGAGAAAGCTGGGGCAGGCTCAAGATATGTTGGATTCGGTCTCCTCTGAGCCATCTCTACCGGACTCCTCGGACTCTTCAACGATATCTGGCCAGCGTCCAGCTCCGCGACCAGCATGACCACCACACTGTACTCCTCGAGCTCGACCTGCTGGAGGCTCCATGCTAGCTCTCTACACACATTCATAGATATTAGTAGTTGCATTGCATGCATGTATGCATGGCATATGCATTGCTTATTTTATTTTATGGTAGTTTATACTTACAGAGACGTGCTTATTGGAGAGCCTCGCCACAGCAAGCTTGAGGCATGCCACCTCGTACAGATAGCTCACCTCATTATAGTCAGCAATGGAAACCTGCAGAGTGGAGCAAGGGTAGACAATGAGCAAATAGAATAATAAGGAGCAATAAGTAGAATAGAAGGACAAAGATCACTCACATGGGTACAGCCAGGTGGAGACATCCGGTGCAGACTCACTAGATGTATCTCCAGCATGCCCTGAGCGGGTTGACTAGTGCAGTCTAAGATAAAAGAGAAGGATGCACCCAATCTATGCTCTAGCTTGCCAACTACTACAGTCGTATCCAGGGCCATAGAGCCAGAGCTTCCTCTCACACGCTTGTCGCGCTGCTGGTGCTGTAAGAATAAAACACATTCAATGAATAAAGAAAAACAAATACTGGGGCAAAGTCGAAAACAGAGTAACAAGAGTGGATGAAGTTCTCTTGTACTGGAGCATCGTCATGTCCCCTATCTAACTCCTTCGCTTTTGTAAATGGATCAAACTGAGCGGGAGGAGGGAGATGGACTAGGAGCTAGGTCCGTTCAAAAATAGCATAGGCGCACGGCACAAATGCAGCCAAGTGGTCCACGGCAGCTGACCCCCCTCCAAGCAGCCACAATATTCTGCTCCAACCGGATAGATCCAGTGGAAAGCATGTAATATGGCACGTTATGAGGCACTCTCCTCCGATCTGGACCTAACTTCCACTCGTATACCCTCTCGCCGAGGTAGTACACGTCATAAAATAAGCCAGGAAGGAGAAGCCGCCTCTGCTGGTACACGATGGCGGCCTGAATGAAATCGGGGTAGTTAGCACCTTCACCCCATGGGAACCTCATTATTTATAAAAAAAAAAACAAAAAAACAAAAAAAAAAAAGAGAGAAAGAAGAGACAAAAAAATGAAATGAAATGAAAAAGAAAAGAGCAAAAAAGCAAAAATAACATGAAGTTGTAGGCTTACCTGGTCCCAAGTCAGACCATTTAAAAGCTGCCGGAACACTCCGATCTCTAAAGTGGTGTATGCATACTTTCGGCTGAACTTCCATGCCCGATCTCGAGGGAGGTTCATCGTGCTGGTGTCAGCGTCGAAACCGTGTAAAATCAAGCATCAGAATGACATGATGCTCACAAGCCCAGATCTGTTACACAAATAAGGTAGAAATAAATAATGCAGAAAGCATTAAAAGGCATGAAAGATAGAGAATATTCAAAAGATGTGATTTTATATCTCAATGGCTTACCAATAAGACAAGGCAGCAACACCCAATTAAACTGCTTAGTCACGTCCAGATCCTGCAATGGTAGTAGAAGTGCCAAATCTGCCTCATTACCATGATTAGTGAATAAGGTCGTCGACAGTAGATAAAACAAAAAAGCTCGGGCCACCACATCAACGTCCATCTCAGCTACACAATCTTGGGGAATGGCCTCATAGTGGGAGATGATGCTCTCATACCGTACCCTTTTGTCGGAAATGGTAGGCTCCATACCTATCGCAGCTTGAAGGTAGTCTGATAATAGCAACAAAACCAATCAACGTGATCCTCATCTCGTCGAACGGTAGATGGAACATATGAGTGGTGTCCAACCACTGCTCTATAAGCACCATGATGCTCGTAAGGGACTGTCTGGCCCTACATCCAGGGTAGAGTGTCGATGAAATGGCCGAATCTCGCCTCCCAAACTCCATCCTGAACTTAAGGAGGTAGCCGGAAGAACCACTCGCCTGCCGCATAAGTATTGTCGCCGACTTCTCGTGCTTCGTGCTCTTCTGCAAAAATAAACCACTATGAGTATGTTAATAAAGTGCGAAGGCATGTGCTTTCATCTTTTCATGCAAGAAAATAGAAGAAAAGTGACTAAAATATCAAAGTAGGGTGTTCCACAAGCTATTGTGGCGCCAGCCACTAGTGTTATAGAGCACACCATAGAGCCGCAGAATAAAACTAGTTCGCAGAGATGTAGCGCACGCCACAGTGGTGCGCTACAGACTCAAAAACCCTTGAAGCCATCCTGTGTGGCGCATCTCATTCCGCCTCTCCCATCTGAAAGGACAACCTCCCGAAGTGGAGCATTGTCAACTCAAAGCCGCCAACAGGCGCAAGATAGCCACAGAAGTCACCGACAATCACCATGGCGCAATCCGTCCATTTGTCAAATGTCATAATGGTACTAGGTCGATCAAAGTATCCCCAGTTGAAGCCGCCAACTTGGACAAGATAGCTGCAGAAGTTGCCGACAATCACCATGGCAATCTGCCCATCTGTTAAATGTCGTAATGGTACTGGGTCGATTGAAGTATCCCCAGTTGAAGCCACCAACTGGCGCAAGATAACCGCAGAAGTCGCCGACAATCACCATGGCACAACCCATCCACCCTTAAATGTCGTAATGGTACCGTAAGTCCCCCTGGGCAAGTTTTCAAATCCACATTAACAAAGCCGCCAGAATGGTGCACTTCATCCATCGAAGCCGTGCATGCCGCGCAAATCAGGTAAGTATCATCTTACTTATGCGTCTACTTTACACTTTGATGACATTTTGCTTAAAAAGCAAAATATTATCAAAGTGGAGGCAAACTGTAGACGCTTAAATTTTCCAAGAATGGTGCACTTCAAATCCATCGAAGCCCGTCGCATCGCCGCGCAAATCAGGCTAAGTTTCCACT